TTAAAATGGTTCAATGCAACAGAGGGGATGCGGCTTATATTAGAGCATCTACACATATGAGAATGATGAATTTTTGGTTCTCAATTATTGAAAAAGAATTGGTGTGACTTCTATTAGGGATGATCTAATACAGATTTTACGGTACTTAACATTGTATATATCAATCAGGCAATACTTTTCTCTTTTCAGTACACTGAAATTGATGGCCAGACTGACTGTATGTTAGAATGTTCGCCTGATAAATGTGCTGAACAGACTTGTTGTGGTAATCGCAAACAATCTGTCCCACTTCTGGAAACCAATGGTGTCAGACAGAGAATTTCTGCAGGAACCTCCATGCATCAAGAATACTCCAGTCCTCATAGCTTGAATACATCACCATGTATGTCCGATGCTGTCTGTCAGGCTTCTCCTGACTGTATTATGATGATGATGACATCCAAAGATGGTGAGGACACTCATTTGTAAAGTGCTTAACAACTTAGTTGATGATCAGTTGTTGGTGTTAACAGGGCCATGTACATCAAAATGTACATATTTTGTTTGACCAAGTTTTAAAGATTACACATGTAAGGCCAATCCAACAGTTGTGTTCAGGGTATTAAATATATATTATATATTAAATATTAAAGTTATTCCAGTATGTTTGCAAATTGCCTTGACCAAGTGGTGTCCACTCAATAGAGGTGCCTACAGTTTGTTGGACGAAACTCAATAAAATATAAATACATATTCCCAGTCATTTCAACTTTGATTTCTCAGTACAGTAACCTGGGAGATACGGTATATGAGTATACCATATTTGTCTGATACACCATCATCCCAAACCTCTCTCTCCCTTGGGCAATATTTCAGCAGGTGGTTACAAAAAACACTTGTCAATGTATTTACAGAAAATATCTCGTGCTGATCAAAGTTCCAGAATTATGTTATTTTTAGAACGATTCAATCTAACCTGGTGCCTAAATTAAACTGACTTGCGTGAATGGGTAAACTGTTTGACAATGAGCTGTTATCACTGTGATCACAATGATCAGTACATGTCTAAAGTGACCAGTTTACATGACTGTGATGTTGGCTACTAAACCAATGTTTCAATGTTTATTTTAAACTAGTTCTATACTTTCATTTACCAACAAAAATTAAAACCAATGCATATTTATGACATTAGAATCAGAATATCAGTTTGTTATCCTGAGGAAATGCAGACAATTTTTATTTTGGGCTGTAAAAATTTCAGTTGTGATACTGTGACTGCTTTATTCTTGGTACCTTGCAACCCCATATCATGACTAATGTTTTTATACTATAATGAATTAAAATAGAAAAATTGAAGCCAATACTAGCCTGAAAATATGCCCATTCTTTCAAAACATTGCGCAGGGCTGGTACATACATGTACGTAATACTATTGTATATCAATGCAAATACAGGAAGTAGTACCGTAAAATCTGTATTAGAAGCCGCATCCCTAATAGAAGTCGCACCCATTCTTTTTAAACAACTGGGAACCAAAAAATCATTTCTCATATGTGTAGATGCTCTAATAGAAGCCGCACCCCCTCTATTGGATTGTACCATTTTAATAGAAGCCGCGGTTTCTAATACAGATTTTACAGTAATCCTTTTGTAAGTTGAAAATGACATACCAAAATGAATAGTTGTATGATATATAATAGTGAAACTTTCAAATGGACAATGTATTTTTTATTGCCCATGGTCATCCAGGGGTGCTTAGTCCAAGCTAGCTGTTCAAAGATATGTCATTATATGCTAAGGTCTGGACTGAGTTTTAAAAGGGGATCAGATCTAGTTTTGGCTATACTAAGCATTCACACATAGTTTCTTAGTACAGGCTAACGTCATTGTCGTCTTCGCCCATTCGAAGGAAGGAAGTATGCATGAATGCAACTATGTTCTGAAAGTTTGGTTGTTCAAAGTATGCAAATATATCATAACAGAAGGTTTGGGGTTGAAAATTACCAAATGAGTACAATAGTTTATATATATATATTTTGTTGTTTATTGCATACAACGTTTACTTTCCTAACTTTTTTTTAAATTCCATGATACAAAAAGTACCTAAGTACAAATATTGAGTGCTGTAAACATGGCAGGCCAGAAATAGAGGGACTGTCAGCAGAATAAGAAAAACAAACAAAATAGCACTGTGCTTAGTTTAACTATCTGACTATAGGTTATTAGACCCAAGATTGTGACACCTAATGTCACCAACATGTATACTCTACATGTCTACTAAGTTCACTATATTTTTGTGAATGCATCACTTAATGACTCAGTGATTAAAACTCCAGTAAGATCTATTTTGAGATTATGTTTATGAGTAGTCAATATTAAAGTGCTGAATACTTGCCCCTAACTGTCTTGCATATATGTATGCCCAGGTACTGAATGATTTTTTAAAGTGCTTTTTATATACCTAATACATAATTGATTAACATTGTGATGACTGTCTATTTGAGCCTTATAGGCACCTAAATGTGTTCTTCTCAAAGAAGGTTTTTTGCTGTCAGAATATTTGTCTTTAAATTATCTAAATGTTATTGGCTGTATTTCGTTTTTAAGAACCAAGCTGAAACCTCTCTTCTGACATTTACAATGTTCATATTAATTTTTAAATCGCAGTTTTAATGTACATGTAATTGAACCACCAAATGATGATGATGTTGCTGAAAATCATACAAGGTGCAATTTGATTATTCATAGTTTTTATTGAATCTTCACAATTTATGATGTTCTCGGTTAATGTGTTTTCACCCTCTGAACATTTGGTTTCTACTACTGGTAGTTCATGGTGGGTGAATGCTTTTTAGTACAGAGCTACATCCAAGTTGATTTCTCATTTCATTGATGAACGAAAAGTTGTTGATTTTCTATATATTATTGAGCATTTTTTTTCATGATCAACATTTGAAGTCTACTAATATTTACTTTTTTTCCTGTAAACAGTTCAATTGTCGAAAACTATTGCTATGTTCACACAGCAGCATTCTACTGTAGCCGAACTACTGCTCCTCCCACCAATTAACAGGAGATTATCTCCAATGCGTTCATACGGATGGGAGCCGAACAAGATCTGCCACAGTTCGATTCAGAACGGAACAGTGCCCTCAAATAATTAGTATAAAAAAACGTGGCTGAAAACGATATTGGTGTTGAGCTTGTGTTTTTTTTTTACATGGCATGATTCTGTTGAGCTGGAAGAAAAAATACACACTCACGATCGAGTCTGAGCATTGAGGTAGAAAAGTCAATGAACTGGTGTTATGATTTAGGTAATAGTATCTTGAATAAACAGGAAACACGGCAACTAAAATGTGTTACAGCCTATTCGCTTAAGTTATTGTTCAACTGTTGTGATATGTGTTAGTTGTCAATCTAAACTTACTAGGAACATGTCACCTTACCGTGACCGCTTCTACGATTTTTATCTCTGGTGTCTTTAAAAAGTATTTTCAATTTTCATTGGATCTGTTCAGTCCTTCTTTCAAGTTTTTGTTGCTTAATTTCGTACGCCATTTTTCTGTTTCCAGTTGACCTGTCAAACTATCGCAGTATTTCTTTACTCTGCCAAATAGATATTAGGACGTGTACCTCTTTGTCAAATTGGAAATTGCGTGAAGTTACGAACGATGTTGTCTCCACCATAATTAAGTGAGAGGTTACTTCAAGTTGAAGAAGACAATTGAAGGTGTGATTTGGGCTTTCGATAGTTGGACCCTGCATGTACACAGTCATCTCGGGGCTCAACCCTATTGGAGTTCAACCCAGAGGGTTTATTGGAGCTGAATTTGGCTCGAGCCGAGCACTTATACATGGCCATTTTTGTTGGCTTAAGCTGTAGGGCTCCGATAAAATGCTGTCGTGTGAACATAGCAATCATATTGCAATAGCTTTTCTTAAACTGTTCTGTAAAACCTTAGGTTAATCATTGTCTATATTCACACAATACTGTATTTGCTCTATTAGTAGTGCATGCACTTCACATGTCATGTTATTGGCTGTATTTTATCAATACAATTTTTGGTTTAGTTTTGTTGGAAGATGAACTTGTAATGTATCAAATATTGTATTTGTTGTTTTTTTTCCAATGATTGTTTTTCTGTGTGTGGATGGGTGCATGCATGCATGCATGTTGTGAAGTCACTTGATCTCATTCATTCCCATTAGTAAAATATTAATACTACAAGTCTGTAATACCTAATTTGTTTTATTTATTCATGTAACATTTTCAATATTTTTTCAAATTGTACTCATATTTGTATTATGTTTGACCATTATGCAATGATTGTGAAATAAAGTACTTTGATGTGATGTGTATCATGCTGTTTCTGTGACCAACATTGAACCTACCAACCACATATTTTTTTTTGGTCAACCCCATGATTTTTGCTCAAACAATAATTTATTTTCTCTAGCAATTCAACCACCTGGCAGGAAATGGTCGCATTCACATTTGTCTTCCATGTGCAGAACACAATGGAAGGCTATGTCTGTATAGATAGATGTGTCAAATTCTGCTTATACTCCAAATTCTTCAATTAAGTTCTAACTTGCTCCACAGTCAAAACTTGAACACTGACAATTGTGTGCTGGCACATCAACAACAGTTATTTTATCTGCAATTTATGTCCTTTTTTGCACATTTCAAATTAGGTCCCTACGTGTTTCAGATACAATTGCAGTAAAGCTCGTCAATGGGAGTTGATTTGTGTCACAAAGGAATCTATGACAGTTGACTGGCATATTATTTTCATCTTCTTTTGCACAACTCTGCTTATTTATCAAATTCTCCCTGTTTAATCAGATCAAAAATGGTTGGTTCAAATACAGCTGTATTCAAGCACATAAAAAATCTGTTGTTCTAATCCATGATTACTGACAGGGAAGCCATTTGATTTACATCAGTTTACGTCATAGAAATGGTACATCCACAGGGATTTTTTTAAACAAGGAAACAGAGGTGCAGCGCCCTCATGCCATGGATGCGCCCCTTTACCCTGGGAAGCAGATCCTCTGGCAACAATAAAATTCTGAATGACCAGGGATCACATGTGGCAACGGTCTTCAACTGTAACCTGTCTGATAGTAATTTTGGCCCCAAGGAAGCCATAGAATGCTCCATTTTAACTTAGAATTATAGTTAATATACAAATTTATAAGTTTATTATTAAACCTTTATTGCAGGATATAAAGT